AACCCAGCCACCCTGTCCCTCCCAACCCACCCCCCAGCAACCCTCAGTTTGTTTCCTGAAATTAAGAGTCTCTTGTGCTTTGTCTCCCTGATCCCATCTTGTTTCATATTTTCCCTCCCTACCCCCAGCCCTGCCTCTCAGATTCCTCATATCAGAGAGATCATATGATAATTGTCTTTCTCTGACTGACTTATTTCATTTAGCATAATATCCTCTAGTTCCATCCAGGTCATTGCAAATGGCAAGATTTTGGGTTTTGGATGGTTGCATAGTATTCCAGTGTGTATGTGTGCGTGTGTGTGTGTGTGTGTGTGTGTGTGTGTGTGTGTGTACGTATCTCATTATCTTTATCCATTCATCGGTTGATGGACATCTAGGTTCTTTCCATAGTTTGGCTATTGTGGACATTGCTGCTATAAACATTCGGGTGCACGTGTCCCTTTAGATCACTGCATTTGTATCTTTAGGATAAATACCCAGTAATGTGATTGCTGGGTTGTAGGGTAGCTCTATTTTCAACTTTTTGAGGAACCTCCATGCTGTTTTCCAGAGTGGCTGCACCAGCTTGCATTCCCACCAACAGTGTAGGAGGGTTCCCCTTTCTCCGCATCCTTGCTGACACCTGTCGTTTCCTGACTTGTTAATTTTAGCCATTCTGACTGGTGTAAGGTGGTATCTCACCGTGGTTTTGATTTGTATTTCCATGATGCCCACTGATGTTGAGCACTTTTTCGTGTATCTGTTGGCCATTTGGATGTTGTCTTTACAGAAATGTCTGTTCATGTCTTCTGCCCATTTCTTGATTGGATTATTTGTTCTTTGGGTGTTGAGTTTGTTAAGTTCTTTCTAGATTTTTGGACACTAGGCCTTAATCTGCTATGTCATTTGCAAATATCTTCTCCCGTTCTGTCAGTTGTCTTTTGGTTTTGTTGACTGTTTCCTTTGCTGTGCAAAAGCTTTTGATCTTGATAAAGTCCCAATAGTTCATTGTTGCCCTTGCTTCCCTTGCCTTTGGCGATATTTCTCTAGGAAGAAGTTGCTGTGGCTGAGGTGGAAGATGTTGCTGCCTGTGTTCTCCTCAAGGATTTTGATGGATTCCTGTCTCACATTGAGATCTTTCATCCATTTTGAGTCTATTTTTGTGTGTGGTGTAAGGAAATGGTCCAGTTTCATTTTTCTGCATGTGTCTGTCCAATTTTCCCAACAGCATTTGTTGAAGAGACTGTCTTTTTTCCATCGGACATTCTTTCCTGCTTTGTTGAAGATTAGTTGATCATAGAGTTGAGGGTCCATTTCTGGGCTCTCTATTCTGTTCCATTGATCTGTGTGTCTGTTTTTGTGCCAGTACCTTACTGTCTTGATGATGACAGCTTTGTAATAGAGCTTGAAGTCTAGAATTGTGATGCCGCCAACTTTGGTTTTCTTTTTCAACATTCCTCTGGCTACTCAGTGTTTCTTCTGGTTCCATATAAATTTTAGGATTATTTGTTCCATTTCTTTGAAAAAAGTTGATGGTATTTTGATAGGGATTGCATTAAATATGTAGATTGCTTTAGGTAGCATAGACATTTTCACAATATTTGTTCTTCCAATCCATGAGCATGGAACATTTTTCCATTTCATTGTATCTTCCTCAATTTCTTTCATGAATACTTTATAGTTTTCTGAGTACAGTTATAGATAACACATAAAAAATGTCTTACCGTGGTAGATAACACAGAAAAATGTATTGCCCCATGGTGTATTCCAAACCCAACACGCCTGAGTCCCACCTGTGTCAGGCAGCAGAGCGTTTTCAGTCTGTCAGCGGGTGCCCTCCTCGCAATGCTTGCTCCACTCCCTCAAAGTTGGAAGGGATCCCGACTTTTCTGTTACTTACTTCTGGCTTTTCACCTTAGTTTCACCACCTAAACTCACATCTTGCACGGCTCAGTTTTGCCTGCTTTTTCAGCTTTCCGGAAGTGGAATTACGGAGCATGTGCTCCTTTGGGTCTTGCTTCATTGACTCTACATCACAGATGTTGTCCACAGCTTTCTGCAGGAGTGAAGGCAGGGTGGGAACGCACAGCTTTTCGATAACTGACTCTGGCGACCCTGTGAAGTTACAGATTTTAGGTTATTAATCGAGTCCTTTGAGGAACCTTTAGAGTCCCAATGAGACAAATGAAGTATTTATTTTGTAAGAACCCTTGCAGTTGGTACCCTGCCTTCCTGAGAGGAATGATCACCGTAATGTCTTGTGCCATTCCAGGAAGAAATACTTGTGTTGGCTGCATTTCTAGGGATGCACCAGAGCTCAAGGTAGTCAGCCAGTCCTGCCCGCCCAGAAGTGCCTCTCTCACAGGCAGGCTTGAAGTATTTCAAGCTGGTGGAGTGGGTTTGCTGGAGTTAGTCTTAGAATTAAAGTAGTGTCTTTTTTTTTTTTGAAGATTTATGTATTTATTGGAGAGAGAGTACGCACAAGTGTGCACATGTGGGGGGAGGGGCAGACGGAAAGAATTTTGAGCAGACGTCCTGCTGATCATGGAGCCCAACTCAGGGCTCAGTCCCACAACCCCAAGATCATGACTGGAGCTGAAATCAAGAGTTGGATGATTAACCGACTGAGCCACCAAGGAGCTCCTACGCATAAGACTTTTGTTGGTGTTTCTAGATGCATATTCTAGCTTTCTATGGGTCTGATATAACTTTGCTTATTTATCCTCACTCAGTATTTTACTGTCTCTTTTCCGGATGTCTCTGTGTATATGTTCATATACTGTCTTTTTCCTTTTTCACACACCTTCATGTACACCAGTACTTTTGATGGTAGTAGAGGCGATCGGTGCTGTGATTTCTACCCTTGCCATCAGTTTCAGTACGCCTGGATTTGAGAAGGCTTTAAGGCTGAGTGGGTGGGTAGAGAGAGAAAAGAACAGAACATTCTGTTTGGATAGGTCTTTGGTCTGCACTTAGCGACCAGGAGGCCTGATGAGTGGGAGCTGTCCAGGAAGTGGATCTGCAGTAACCTGCGCAGCCCCTGGGCCCCTTCTGTGAAGGCGGCGAGGACTGGGAACGGTTACAGGGATAGAGCACCTTCTTGGTCTGTGACTCCGCTCCTGGAGATAGATGTTCATGCCACAGGAGAGTAAGAAGCCAGCTTTGTAAGATTGTGGGCAAGACACAGTCACATTTTGTGACCATATGGGTACATGTTTCATGAACAGGATCAGGAATGAAGAAAACATTCAGGGCACATGAAAGGAAAAGGCACAGAAGAGTTGATGTCTGTGTCTGTGTATCCTTTTTGTATGTGTCTAGGAGTGGATATATAGAAATTGGCTTATGATAACAGTTCTGAAATACATGCATTCATATATAATGAACTCTGGTTTTGTTTTGTTTTTAAGATTTTATTTATTTGACACAGAGAGGGAGAGCACAAGTAGACAGAGTGATAGGTAGAGGGAGAGGGAGAAGCAGGCTCCCTGCTAAGCAGAGAGCCCAATTCGGGGCTTGATCCCAGGGTACTGGGATCATGACCTCAGCTGAAGGCAGATGCCCAACTGGCTGAGCCTCCAGGTGTCCCAATAAACTATATTTTAAAAAACCCTATCTACATGTTTTGGTTGTCACTAGAGATTCTATTTATTGATTAACTTCCTTTTCCCAGCAGGAATGTCTTGCAACTGGTACCCATTATGCATTTTTGTATTATATGATGTCAATTAAAAAATTAGCTGAAGTCACAAAAAGGAAGGCAATATGTATTCACAAGCCAGCTATTCATAATTTCATATATTTCAAGTTGAGCTGCCTACCGCCTCTGCCCCATTACGTAGAACAACCCACAGCAAAGTTGATCCCTGTGGGGTTCTACCTCTCTACCTGCTCTACCTCTCAGTTCTACCTGCTCTACCTCTCAGCGCTGCCCTGACAGACTTCTCTGCCGTGCTTGGGGGTGTGCTCCGAAATTCAAATCCAATTTGATATTTTCCAAAGCAAAACACAACTTAAGACAAATCTGTTATCCAAAAAGTCACATACATCAAGGGCAAATGCAGATGGTGTGGCGATAGCTGCCTACTGCTCCCCTCTTCGTTTGTACTGGTGACTGGGGACTGACCGTGCCTGTGGAATCACCCCTCAGTCTGGGCCAAAGCCAGTGACAGCACCTGAGGGCCAGCAGTGAGTGCTGTTGACTCTGTTATGCTTCCTGTTCACTACAGAGAGGGAGTTGACAGGAACTGGAGCAGGGGAACTGAGAGTGAGCCTTGCACGCGCTGTTCTTCGTGCACATGGTGGGTGTGTTTACTTCTCTTGGTTGGGAGCTAGTCTTGGCTGTCAGGTGTCCTTTGCTTCATTCTTCCTTACGTGAATTTATCCTTCAGATTTCCCTTTTGTGTACTCCAAGATACTACTGAGGGCATTTAGATAACTGGTATTTATACTGTTGATAATCTGAATTAATCAGTCTGTACTGAATGGAATTTGACCACAAGTGTATCTGTTTCTGATAGATGACCCGTTTTATTTTCCGAAGAGGCCAGAATTTGTTACCAGTCTCAGACAGTCTGTATCTAGTCATACTCCTGGTGCTCTAGAGTGCATTTACACCAGTAGGAATCTTAATTCCTTCTTTACTGTCCTATTTGTGGGTTGAGAAAGCTAAGCATGGAGACAGCACTTTCCTGTCCTGGGGCTCTAACCTTTAAACCTATTGCTTCTAACCACTTGGAGCTCAGAAAATTCCATGAAGCACATTTCAGTGAACTGTTGACTATATTAGAATCTCTTTTTTTCCTTTGCAGACCCTTCATGTGGCCTTTTTAAATATGTGTTTGAGACAGAGTGAATGTAGAAACTGAAAATGCCTGGAAGATTGCTGGTTTCTGTTACTACCTGCCCAGCCTTTTTGCATCAGCGCTTGATTTGGATGATGTGATATTCCGAGGGACACCTTCCTTGAAGTTGTTATTCCGTGAGTTGCCTCTGGCGGGAGGTGGTAGACACGATTCAAGATGGCCAGTCAGCCGCCAGACGAGGCGGCAGAGGCTCAGGTCTCTGACGAGCTTGAGTGTAAGATCTGTTATAATCGGTACAATCTGAAGCAGAGGAAACCCAAAGTGCTGGAGTGTTGTCACAGGGTTTGTGCCAAATGCCTCTACAAGATCATCGACTTTGGGGACTCGCCGCAAGGTGTCATCGTCTGTCCTTTCTGCAGGTTTGAGACCTGCCTGCCAGATGATGAAGTCAGTAGCCTGCCCGATGACAACAACATCCTGGTAAACTTGACTTGTGGAGGCAAAGGCAAGAAGTGCCTGCCAGAAAACCCCACCGAGCTGCTGCTGACCCCCAAGAGGCTGGCGTCCCTGGTCAGTCCCTCTCACACTTCCTCCAACTGCCTGGTCATAACCATCATGGAGGTGCAGAGAGAGAGCTCCCCGTCTCTGAGCTCCACTCCCGTGGTAGAATTTTATAGGCCTGCGAGTTTCGACTCTGTTACCACTGTGTCGCACAACTGGACGGTGTGGAACTGTACGTCCCTGCTCTTTCAGACGTCTATCCGGGTGTTGGTTTGGCTGCTGGGCTTGCTCTACTTCAGCTCCTTGCCCTTAGGGATCTACTTACTGGTGTCTAAGAAAGTCACTCTTGGGGTCGTCTTTGTCAGCCTCGTCCCTTCAAGCCTTGTCATTCTCATGGTGTATGGTTTTTGCCAGTGCGTTTGTCACGAATTTCTAGACTGTATGGCACCTTCTTCTTAATTAATATGCAGACTAAGAAATTTGACACACATTGCCATCTTTGAAGTTAGGTAATTTATCATTTATTTATTTTATATTCTCAGTGATTAGTGTCCATGACATTAACAAAGCCACTGGCCCAATGTTTGTGGTCTGTTTTCCATCAAAAAGTTGACTCCGTTGGTTTTCCTCTATGCTGGACACAGAAAGTGCTCATTTCTACTTAGGTGTTAGCAAAGATGCAAGCATGTATAAGCTAAGCCTTCACAGAGCGCTTCTTGTGAGCCTGCCCGTAGAAAGGGCAGGAGTTCACTCACCCCTGCTGGAAGGCGCCAGCGGGGAGGGGTGTTAGGCTGTAGGAGGGGTCTTTGCAGAAGGTTAGGGATGAACCAGTTCCTCTAATCCTCAATAATCTATGATGGTGGGTGGACACAAGAGGAGAGCTTTCCAAGACACATCTACTTGAAAAGTGTGACCTGCCCCTCCCACACCCCCCTCCCACACTGCTCCTGCACCCCCTCCC